AAATTATCTTTAAATTTCTCTCGCGGAATCTATAGCGCTTCAGCATTACAGATTGAATAGAGCCCTTGGTCCTGGAAGCCCTAGCAATACAGCTGATTCAAATAATGAAACATCAAGCTTTAATTAGCTGTGTAGTGCTAGAGCAAAAAACCCTTCACACTGAGCAATGCAGGGTAAAATGACAGTGCCAACTCAATGTATTTCAATGGGGAAGGTGAGTTGGGATTGGCGCGCTACCATGCAAGCGAGTGTACAGAAAGTTTGAACTCTTGATGGAACGCACCCTGACATAACAGTTTGTCTATCAACAGTGTTTACTGTGAATGTGATTGCCACGACCATCAAGGAAATTGCCTTTAAAAGGCGCATTATCAAGTTTGGTTTTACTCGCATTCCATGCATTGTTTTTGTGGGAATTTTTATTTTTTGGGTTGTATTCCATGCATTGTTTACTTAATTCTAAGACAGCCACATAACTCCTCTTGAGGTAAGAATATAATTAACTATCTATTTATGTAGTGGAAGGTCTGATAATATTTTAACCAAGTTTGTAGGCTATTTATCGTTTTAGGTTGTATTTTGAGTTTAACATCCCTTTAAGGGGCAGAGTTGCCTGATTTCCAAGAAATCCCGGTTCAGTCTAGAAACAACCCCAAGCTTATTTACAAAAGGCTATGGCTCCATAAACCAATTCCAAGTCCAGCCAGGTGTAGTGTGATTCATACTGTAGTTTCAAAGGACCTGATCACGGGACAGGATATCATAAGGAAACTGAAAACAAAGTGATGATTTAAAGATGCCCTCCGGGATCTTAAGCACAACAAATATGGTGACATATTGCACGAATTGGAGCCGTAGCATATCACACGAATTGCAAAATTCGTATGATATGTAAATAGCAAAATTCGTTACATTTCACACGAAATGGAAGACAGTACACAATTGGATGATGTAGTACAAAAAAACGGGGACCACTTTTGACTCTTGAGCACCACTTTCAAAACTACTGGCTGAAATTATCCAAAAGTTAGACATCTTTAGTAGACTATGGCATAGGCTAAACACATTATTATCTAAACTTGAACTGCTGCCTTGTTTTAAAAGAACAATATAGGACAGCCCACAGCAGGAAGAAGCAGATATCATTGTTTTCTATAGCCCTTTATATACCTGGCACTAACATTCATCCTGATCTTCTCCACATTCACCTTGTGCCCACATTTAGACAGGTGTAGATTATTAAAAGACCCGTTGTGAACTGATCGTGATCAGATCTACCTGACCAGCTCCAGAGCTCCAGAAGTGTATGCACATTGCATCTGGATATCTTACAAGTGCAAACAGATCTGGATGGTCAAACCATTTAAATCATAATTATACTGCCTTCTAAAATAATTGATGGCACCATTGACTCAAGGCATAAATTATTGTCTAACCTTTTTTTAAGTCATTATTTTGAAGCTGTCACGCCCTGACTTTGGGGACTCTTATTTGTTGAGTCAGGGTGTGATTTTCTATGTTGTATTTTCTATGTTTTGATCTATTATGTGTATTTCTATGTTGGCCGGTGTGGTTCCCAATCAGAGGCAGCTGTAGCTCGTTGTCTCTGATTGGGGACCATACTTAGGCAGCCTATTGGCACTGTCAAGTTGTGGGATCTTGTTCCGTGTAAGGTATGTTGTTTGTGTGCTACCTTGGACTTCACGTTTCGTTTCGTTTGTTGTTTTGTCGTGTGTTTATTCGTTTAAATAAACATGTATGCATATCACGCTGCGCCTTGGTCCGTCCCGTCTGTAAACGAACGTGACAGAAGCGATGTCTTTCAGATAATTTGAATACATGAAGGGACCAGGAAATCTGGTCACAATGTGGACACAGTGGAATGATAAGAGACACATTTTAAAACCATGTTTAGACATGACAAATCCGATCAGATAGTGATTGGATCATCTTGATCGGATCATAAAAACCACATGTTAATGCAAGATATAACCATGGCTAATGAGACAATGGCAAATTCCGCCAGAGCCAACGCTGAAAGTTTGAGTATTTGTATATCTGACATAACATAGGATAAAATAACTATTCTACCCCAGGTGTGAAGCCCAATGTGTGTCTGGTGTGTGGCAAAGCCTTCAGCCAGAGCTCCAACCTCAGTTTTCGCAATCAGGAGAATCACAGCACAGGCCTTCAGGCTAAGACCCTGGCTAAGAGTTGATCTGATCTACCACTACGAACCCTACTGCAGATAGCCTCACAAACGGCTACAACTGTTGACGTCAGTTCAATTTTAATTTATCAGTAGCCCAAGGATTCTCTCACTCCAGCCCTGTTTGGCACTAGCTGAATATTTTAACTTCTGTTGTATCTTGGACTTTAATACCGGCATGGTGTTTTCCAGATTGTATCTCTGATAAATTAAGAGGACCTGATCAATGGATACACTCAGAAATAGGTGATACTGTCAGTCTTGGATCAATATGATACCACATATTATGATCTCAGTATCTAGAGTCATTATTATTGATTATTTGATTGATTATTCTTATTTTTGGAAACTAAGTTTTATAATAAACTGCCCAAACATATACACAGTGTACAAAACATGATGATCTTTCCATGACATAGGCTGACCAGGTGAATCCAGGTGAAAGCTATGATCTCTTATTGATGTCACTTGTTAAATCCACTTCAATCAGTGTAGATGAAGGGGAGGAGACAGGTTAAAGAAGGATTTTTAAGCCTTGAGACAATTGAGACATGGATTGTGTATGTGTGCCATTCAGAGGGTGAATGGGAAAGACAAATTATGTAAGTGCCTTTGAACAGGGTATGGTAGTAGGTGCCAGGTGCACCGGTTTGTGTCAAGAACTGCAACGCTGTTGGATTTTTCACGCTCAACAGTTTCCCGTGTGTATCAAGAATGGTCCACCGCCCAAAGGACATCCAGCCAACTTGACACAACTGTGGGAAGCATTGGAGTCAACATGGGCCAGAATCCCTGTGGAACGCTTTCGACACCTTGTAGTCCATGCCCCAGCTAATTGTGGCTGCTCTGAGGGCAAAAGGGGGTGCAACTCAATATTAGGAAAGTGTTCCTAATGTTTTGTACACACAGTGTATCGTTTAGTGTAATGATGTTATTGCCTATGTAAGGTTGTTTTTCTTCACTGAGTGGAAGACCTGTGTATGCATGTAAGTGATATTCTTCAAGAATATTTCATTCATTTGAATTATAAAAAATGGCTGTAAATATCAGAGTGGGCCTTTAAATTATGAACGACGTGACACACCATGTTTTTATCATCCTTTGTTCCTTGCACAGCTCAGATATATTCAACAGGATGGGCGTACTTTAATTGGGATTGTTTCTGGACAGAGATGGGATTTCCTGGAAATCAGGCACACTAGTGGACACAATAGCTTGACTATATGGAAGAAAGCAGGGGTGCGTCTGTGTGAGGTGGAAGTCAGTAACTAACAGTCATATTTTCCAACAGCCTTTTGCAAAAGTTCCCAGCTAGTTATAACCAGTTATAACCATAGGTGAGTACATAAGGTGCTCCATCTCTGCAGGTGATCAGTCTATCAGGTCAAGATCATTCCAGCAGGTCCCCCCCGATCTCCCTTCAACCTTTGAGGATATGTATAACTGAATATTATGTCTCCAGGAAACCTGTGTTCAAATAAAGTTCCTATATATTGTTAGATTGTAAAAAATAGCTTTTGTGTGATTAAGGAGAAGTAGAATGAGGGGATATTTTTGTGTTGTAGGGTTATAGTGAAAGTAGAGAAAATGTGTATTGTATACTAGGGTGTGTATGGTTTTTGGGAACCTGCTGTTAGAAATAAAAATAAAATCCTGAATTTATTGCGCGAATACACAACACTTTACGGTATTGCGTGTTTTCTGGTAGGGAAACTGAATGGGATGCACTCATGCACAGATAGAGATGATAGCTACAAATCATTCCAAGCAAACAGTTTGAAGCACACTAATGAAATATTCCTTAATCAAAATTACACCAAATCTTTTATTTCATTTTCATGCCTTATCAAAAATTTCTTTGATATCACTGGTAGAGTGAGGCTGCAGAGGCTGCAGTAGCATAACGGTGGTGCTGTTCACAAATTGTAAAAGCAAGATTTGTTTACAGTCATGACATACAAACACTGTACACAGACACATAGAGACAGACACACACACACACACACACACAGCTTCACAGCAAGATCTAAGTGCTACAGGTTTTGTTTTTCCCATTTATATTTTGAGGTTGGACTTTTAGCACGTAGGGCGCACCGATTGGTGTCACCTTGTTAGTCAGTATGTGTTACACGTGTGCTGGCTTGTCCATCTCGTTAGTCGGAAGATGTTTCACCTGTGCTGGAGCAGGTGATTTTTAAGAGTGGCTGGCCCAGTGCTCCAGTGGCTTGAAAGATGTGGAGCGTCAACACCTTTAGTTGGCTCTCCCAATTTGATTTCTAGGAAGACATTCCTTTGTCTGATCTTCCCTGTTTTTATTTTGCTAAACTTTTTGTTTTTTAAGTTTGGGGTGGGTTTTTATTTTGTTTGCTTCTTAGGGGGCAAATTTAGTGGGTGCTCATGGTGGGTGTCTTTTAAGTCCCAGCTGTTGTTGCTAGTCAACTTTCAGTGGACACCCCCATGAGTGTCTTTCAGAACCCCTCCTAAAACACCACCTGTTTCGTTTTATTTGTTAGTTCCCCCTCCTGTATGAGCGACCACATTTTTGGTTGTCTTGCTGGGGAACGTAACAGTGAGCTTGATATGTTTTTTAGTAAATCATGAGAGTGCATTCGACTCAGTTTCCCCTACCAGAAACACGCGATACCGTAAAGTGTTGTGTATTCGTGCACGAAAATTCAGGCGGAAACTGAAGAACGAATGGCTTGACCGCATTTTGCGAACGTTGGTTCAGTTAACAAACGGTCACATTTATGCTGCTCCCTGATGGGCTTAGTTGATCATTTCAAGAATTTGAAGATTAAACATCAACATGGGTGAGCTTTGTTATTTTTTCAAATAGTGTACTGTGTTAAGTAGTTGGAAAATATTTAGGAAATAAAATATCTGTTGTATTTTGGCATAGGCCTATTACCCTACAACAGGGAAGTTCACCTCAGCTTGTGTTTGTCTTGTTGTGATAGGAAGCTCTGATTCTCGTTATGGAAACATTATGGAGGTTGAAACTACTGGTGCCTCTAAGGAGACAGCATATGCTGACGGACATGCTAGAGGTATGTGGTCTATGAAACGAACAGAGCCTACATAATCAATACTAATCCATACATCCATCTCATTCAAAAAAATACTGAAAACACATTTACTTTACAACAGGTTATAAAGGGGTGTATGCATCTCAGAGAATGGCAGAGTATGACAAGGATGACATAAATAACTACATTGACATCATCAAAGAGGTGGGGGAAAAGTATGAAATAGCCCCAGCTCTCATCTGTGGCATCATCTCAAGAGAGACCAGAGGTGGGAGATTAATACGTAAACCGTCCCCACCAATCGTCCCAGACCAAGGCTGGGGGGACTATGGAAACGGCTTTGGGCTAATGCAGGTAGGCACTCAGATTATGTGTAACTTATTCATCGGTTGCAGAGTCATCATGCATCTAATTTCTTTCAGGGACACTGATGGCAAAATAATTCAATGTCTTTGTCTAAACTCTGTGTTAAAGAAACAGTGGCTGGGATTCAATCTGAGCTCGTTGACAATGCAATGTTACCACCATGTCAGCTCAATTGGAAATTACTTGTAAATGTCAATCTTGCCATAGGTTTCGGATTGAATACTGGCCAGTGTCAAGTATATTTGTATGGTCTACTCAAATCTGAGCCTCGGTACTACAATAGATTACTTTTTTATTTTTATTATAGGTTGACTGATTAAAGTCGATGATTTGACAGAGATTCCACTCACCTGGGGCCTCATTTATCACACATTTGTGCGCACAGATTTGATCGTAAATTGTGTGAGGCTTATGTCAAAATCTACACCAACATTGTGATTTATAAATCTTGAACTTGAAATGATAATATGCAATTTACAACTTAGTGTGTATAGACATCTAAAAGCCAATTTTATAAACGAGGCCCCTGGTTCGCTGGTGGGAAGAATGAAAACCAGCAGGGTGGTGGACCCTGGGACCTGGATTTGAGAGTAAGGCCAGGATTCAATCTGATCGCATGTTATAGGCACTGCAGCTTTTATAGGCAATTTCCGATTAGCCGTCATATGTAGCGTTTACCGTGAATGGGATCTCCACGAATGCGGGAACACTTCCTTTAAAAACCGCGATGTCTATAACTCATGATCGGATTGAATTCCGGCCTAAAGGATTCCGCATACATAGGTTTGGTTTGCTCCTAGCAGAAGTCAGCTAGGCGAAGTGAATGTATGTGCTTGCATATTCCCTTAAAATACAGTACCAGTCAAAAGTTTGGACACACCTACTCATTCAAGGGTTTTTCTTTATTTTTACTATTTTCTACATTGTAGAATAATAGTGAAGATATCAAAACTATGAAAAACCACATATGAATCATGATTTAAAGTTTTAAACAAATCAAAATATATTTTAGATTCTTCAAAGAAGCCACCCTTTGCCTTGATGACAGCTTTGCACACTCTTGGCATTCTCTCAACCAGCTTCACCTGGAATGCTTTCCCAACAGTCTTGAAGGAGTTCCCACATATGTTGAGCACATTGGCTGCTTTTCCTTCACTCTGTTGTTCAACTCATCCAAAACCATCTCAATAGGGTTGAGGTCGGGTGATTGTGGAGGCCAGGTCATCTGATGCAGCACTCATCACTCTCCTTCTTGGTCAAATAGCCCTTACACAGCCTGGAGGTGTGTTTTGGGTCATTGTCCTGTTGAAAAACAAATGATAGTCCCACTAAGCGCAAACCAGATGGGATGGCGTATCGCTGCAGAATTCTGTGGTAGCCATGCTGGTCACGTGTGCCTTGAATTCTAAATAGATCACAGACAGTGTCACCAGCAAAGCACCATCACACCTCCTCCTCCATGCTTCACGGTGGGAACCACACATGCGGAGATAATCCGTTCACCTACTCTGCGTCTCACAAAGACACGGCGGTTGGAACCAAAAATCTCAAATTTGAACTCATCAGACCAAAGGACAGATTTCCACCAGTCTAATGCCCATTGCTCGTGTTTCTTGGACCAAGCAAGTCTCTTCTTCTTATTGGTGTCCTTTAGTATTGGTTTCTTTGCTGCAATTCGACCATGAAGGCCTGATTCACGCAGTCTCTTCTGAACAGTTGGTGTTGAGATGTGCCTGTTACTTGAACTCTGTGAAGCATTTACTTGGGCTGCAATTTCTGAGGCTGGTAACTCTAATGAACTTATCCTCTGCAGCAGAGGTAACTCTGGGTCTTCCTTTCCTGTGGCGGTCCTCATGAGAGCCAGTTTCACCATAGCGCTTGATGGTTTTTGCGACTGCACTTGAAGAAACATTCAAAGTTCTTGAAATTGTCCGGATTGACTGACCTTCATGTCTTAAAGTAATGATGGACTGTCGTTTATCTTTGCTTATTTGAGCTGTTCTTGCCATAATATGGACTTGGTCTTTTACCAAATAGGGCTATCTTCTGTATACCCCCCCTACCTTGTCACAACACAACTTATTCGCTCAAACGTGAAATTCCACAAATTAACTTTTAACAAGGCACACCTGTTAATTGAAATGCATTCCAGGTGACTACCTCATGAAGCTGGTTGAGAGAATGTCACGTGTGCAAAGCTGTCATCAAGGCAAAGGGTGGCTACTTTGAAGAATCTCAAATATAACATATATTTTGATTTGTTTAACACTTTTTTGGTTCCTACATGATTCCATATGTGTTATTTCATAGTTTTGATGTCTTCACTATTATTCTACAATGTAGAAAATAGTCAAAAAATAAAGAAAAACCCTTGAATGAGTAGGTGTGTCCAAACTTTTGACTAGTACTGTACCTTCGCTTGAAAAATGAGGGAAAAAAGCAGCAATATTATTGTATGTCCCTCTTGAGACGGTGTAACCAGTACACTTCCTCAAAATAGTCTGAATGAATCTAAGATAACTCAAGAAATCTGTAATTAATTTTGACGTTTTTGCAGAGGTCTTATTTTACATCTAACTAAGATGTTTGGTGCAGTATTTCTCAAGTGAAAAATGTTGCATGAAAACTAGTAGTCTGTCGTTGAATGTCAACAAACACTACATTGAAGAATCCCTACTGTTGACCAATCACCGACGAAGTGGCGTAGACTTCGGCTTCCGAACTTGGACAAGCCTCAAGAAAAAAAATGGTGCTCTCGAACAGCCGAAAGAACATCACAATATATGCGTAAACTTTTTCGGCTGGTACGCTTTAGTAGCCATGCACGAGCGAGCCAGAACAGCATATCTCCTGTGTCTGTAGCATGAGGCAGGTTGATGTAAACGTACACCCCCTGAACAGGATGCTAGTTTATCACATGGTCTTACCCCCAATCTATCTCCTTAATGCTGAGTGCCAAGCAGAGATACATTTTTAGTATGACTCGACCTGCTATCAAACTTGCAACCTTCCAATCTTAGGGCAGAAACTCTAACCACAAGGCCACTGAGTTGGTATCTGGATTTGTGATAAATGGAGTTTATACAGATTAATAAAGCCATTGAAACTATTTATGTTTCCATTACCTTTATGGTTTGATGCTGAATGACATGTTTGAATGGCATTACAACATAAATGAAGTACTGTCCATTGATTTACATAATATATTTCCTAGGTTGATGTTAACCCAAATGGTGGCAACCACAAGATAATTGGTAAATGGGACAGTAAGGATCATCTTGCACACGCCACTGAGATTCTAATTGATTTCATCAAAATAATCCAAGACAAGCGTCCTGAATGGACCACGGAGCAGCAGCTGAAAGGTACAAAGCTTGATAGTTGATAGATACTTGCTGGGTGGGGGGAATACAATGCTGAACAATTCTAACAAAATCAACTGCACTGCATGCCTGGTTGGTTATCCGGCCATGATTGTTACTTTTCAGGGGGAATTGCGGCCTACAACCAGGGGGATGGAGCGATCGGTTCGCTATATGCGAATGTGGATGAGAACACCACTGGAAAGGACTATTCCAATGATGTTGTTGCCAGGGCTCAATGGTACCACAACAACTTGGTCTGAGGGTAAATAAACCAGAACATTACATTGTGTGGTTCACTGTTTTATCCAGAATGTTCTCAGGCGTTGAGTCTTTCAATCATTCTGATGTGTTAGAATTGCAATTCAGCAAGAGACATAGACATTTGGGAACAACTTTTACCAAAAAAAGATACACAGTTAAAGGGTAAATCTGCAGTTGCTATGTCATGGAATGTCAGTCCTTGCATCCGTAGCTCTGTCTAGGAATTTGAGTGGTTACATTTCTCCAGCCCCATCCCTCAGCTTTTTACCTAAACAGGGGTGGGGAGTACGCTTTGTTATTGTTTCAAATAATGATTGCCCCTTTAAAGTAGGCTAACTGTAATCAATACTACAAATACTCAATACTACAAACTCTGGTGATTGATTTATAAAACTGCATGGATAATAACTTTTTTTCTTCTTCTTCAGTTCACATCATACATTTTGAAAGAGATGATAGCTTTTGGACTCCCTATCATTGACCAGCATACATACCATTGAAATGAAAGAGGATCACATAGGTTACATTGTGTAGTTCTACTCTTTCAAACTTCCTCAGGTGTTGGACCATTCAGTAACCTGCTATGATGATTAATGATAAATGCACAATATGTTATACACAATGTAATATGAAGGTTTAGTTTTATGCATTTGTCAAACATTCTAATGGCTATGTTTTTTTTTCTAGTTCAGTAGCCTGTTTTTTTCAATCAACATGAAGATCAATGTAATGAGGAATGTTTAATGGTTTACATTAAATACCATTTTTTTCTCATCTATTTGTACATTCTGCCCAAGAACATGCATATGTGTTTAAAAAATATATATATATAATTTTATGTTTGAGTCATAAGAGGCAGACGTTTGACTTTTTTTTTTCTTTATTAGATTTGTAAGTGTTAAAATAAAAATGAGTCCTGAGGTATTCACAATATAATGGCATTTATTCTGTTTGAGGTATTCACAATATAATGGCATTTATTCTGTTTGAAATATCTAGGAAATGAGACAGGGAAATGAAAGACAGCAAATAGCAGAGTGAGACAGTAAAGCTGTGCTCCAACTGTCAGAACAAACCCTTTGTCATACATACCTGCATACAAAAAGCCTTGGAAATGCAATAGCCATGGAAAAAGTGCACAATTTCCCCATTGCAGTTGAGCAAGTCATGCAATACTGCATTTAGAAACCCTTGGGAACAAAAGCAAATTATTCTCTACCACTTTGCTACAGAGTGCAGATTAAATACGAGTCCACTTCAGAATAGGACATTATTTTTATTATTTCAGCCATAATATGCTTAAAACGTTGACTGCTAGTCTGTTTCAGGAGGATAATTCATTACTTCTTGTGTTTTCCAAGTCTCAAACAATAGGAGCTAATTTAAGTGGGTGTTAGCATAGCACTATATATCTAATACACCACCCACGCCTGCCGAATGAACACCTGCTCTCACCGACGTTAACAGACGTGAGGGAAAAGAGTGCCCGACAGGCGGGGGCGAAGGACACTGTCTACTGGTCGCCCCCGACTCTCGCTAGCACAGCAGGCGGGAGGCTGGGCGACACCATGTACTAACTAGCTAGCTTGCTAGTTAGCGACACCATGTGCTAGCTTGCTAGTTAGCTAGTACACGGTGCCGCTAGGGCCTGCTGTTTACAAGACTAACTAAGTTAGCACACAGTGTCCTTTGCTCCCGCCTGCCTAACACCTGCCTTCACCGTCGTTAACAGAACTGTGGGAAAACAGTGCCCGACAGGCGGGGATGAAGGACACTGTCTACCGGTAAATGGCTAGCTAGCTACCGTTGTCACCCCAGCTCCTTCTTCTGTGGGGTTTATCGGTAGCTGGCATCCAACGTTATTGTGCGTTAACTCCACCTACTGTACTGGAGCACCCCCACCTTCCACCTGTCCTTGCTTAAAAATTTACCAATATAAATACACTACATGACCAAAAGTATGTGGACACCTGCTCGTTCAACATTTCATTCCAAAATCATGGGCATTAATATGGAGTTGGTGCCCCTTTGCTGCTATAACAGCTCCCACTCTCTGGGAAGGCTTTCCACTAGATGTTGGAACATTGCTGGAACTTGCTTCCATTCAGCCACAAGAGCATTAGTGAGGTCGGGCACTGATGTTGGGCAATTAGGCCTGGCTTGCAGTCGGAGTTCCAATTCATCCCAAAGGTGTTCAATGGGGTTGAGGTCAGGGCTCTGTGCAGGCCAGTCAAGTTCTTCAACACTGATCTCGACAAACCATTTCTGTATGGACCTCGCTTTGTGCACGGGGGCATTGTCATGCTCAAACAGGAAAGGGCCTTCCCCAAACTGTTGCCACAAAGTTGGAAGCACAGAATTGTCTAGAATGTCATTGTATGCTGTAGCGTTAAGATTTCCCTTCACTGGAACTAAGGGGCCTAGCCCGAACCAGGAAAATCAGCCTGATAGAAGGATTTGGTAATGACTAATTATTACACTCCACTTTATGAAATGTGTTAGAATCATGAGACTATAATCTAATAATGTGTGTGCGTAAAACAAGTAAAGATTATGACATTGTGTTACTATTTAGCAATGTGAGTGGGAGATAAGCCAGACGACAAAGGACAAGGAGAACTGTCTGAGAACGGCGGTAACTAAAAAATGCAGCCTGCCCGAGCAAGGAGTAGACTATGATAAGAACATGTATGTGTGACCTGATGGTCAGGAGAGAAGAGGAAAATCACATGAGCTAAACCCAGGTGTGAGCTTACAAGATGTGTACAGTGGAAAAATACAGCCCGCCTAAAGCGGGGTGGGATTTTTGTATGACGTGTGTGTATAAAAGATGGACTCCGAAATTATGATAACAGAATTCTCTGAATAAAGATCTCCGACTATTGCAACTGGGATCCGTTTCTTGATCCAAAAGCCTTACAACCTTTTGGGAGACGCACAGAGACACTGAAATAGTTAGTTAATAAATTCTCTTAACACAGCCCCAGACCATTATTCCTCCTTCACCAAACTTTACAGTTGGCACTATGCATTCAGACAGGTAATGTTCTCCTGGCATCCGCCAAACCCAGAGAAAGCGTTTCCACTGCTCCAGAGCAATGGCGGTGAGCTTTACACCATTCCAGCCGTCGCTTGGCATTGGTGATCATGGTGATCTTAGGTTTGTGTGCAGCTGCTCGGCCGTGGAAAACCATTTCATGAAGCTCCTGACGAACAGTTATTGTGCTGACGTTAGCTTCCTGAGGCACTTTGGAACTCGGTAGTGAGTGTTGCAACCAAGGTCAGACGATTTTTACTCGCAATGCGCTTCAGCGCTTGGCGGTCCCGTTCTGTGAGCTTGTGTGACCTACCACTTCGCAGCTGAGCAGTTGTTGCTCCTAGACGTTTCCACTTCACTTACAGTTGACCGGGGCAGCTCTAGCACGTCAGAAAATTGACAAACTGACTTGTTGGAAAGGTGTCATCCTATGACGGTGCCACGTTGAAAGTCACTGAGCTCTTCAGTAAGGCCATTCTACTGCAAATGTTTGTCTATTTAGATTGCATGGCTGTGTGCTCAATTTTATACACCTGTCAGCAACGGGTGTGGCTGAAATAGCCAACCCACTAATTTGAAGGGGTGTCCACATACTTTTGTATAGTGTATAAAGTGGGGTTCCTGCAGATGCAGGAATACCCACATGCAGGGACGCCCCAAATTGCAGGCCGCAATTGCACCCTTCTCTTCTGGAAGGCCTAGACACGTCACTACTGACAGAGCCAATAGTGAGTAATAGCCTAGTTTTCCCATGCTTTTGTAGTAGTGTGTGTGTGACAATGGCGGCGGGAATTGTCAAGGAGGATGTGGTGGTTAATTTGTTAGCATCACCCTTTTTATGACTAACTTTCAACGAGAAATTAAATGTTGTGCAGCGGGTGAGGCCAACACCAGCACTGCCACGATTGATGCAACGAAGAAAGAGCTTTGAAAGGCATTTTCAAGCTAACAATTATGGGCGCTATCTGAGGATGACTGGGTGTGAGCAAACCAAGAAGCTGTACTGCTGGGATTGTCAATTCTTCAGCACCGACAAGACTTCAACCTGGGCCTGTACTGGTTTCAAAGAGACCGATTAGTTACCGGAGTGTAACTCCAGTTCTATGAGTGGAGCGGAGCCCCATAGGGCCTGAGACAAAATTATGCACACACCTACAGCCAATAGGAGTACAGGTGTCCCTATAAGAGGGGGTGCCTCCCCTCAATCAGCCTCCCGAGATATTTTTCTTCAGCGAGACTAGAGAGGGTCGGCAGGGCCTTAAGTCCTATGGGGCTCTGCTCCACTCATAGAACTGGAGTTACACTCCGGTAACTAATCGTTCTATATCGTGGAGCTCCGCCCCATAGGGGAGCTCTGCTCCTATGGTTTAAGGCGGAGCGTAGCGCTCCAAAATGTACTCCCTGCCGAGCCTAACACTTCCCATCGAAACGAGAAAGTCAAGCCTAGCAATGGCTGCAACCGAGTCCCGCAGTACTGCAACTAAAAACCAGTACGGGCGTCACAATATACCGCGTCATCGGTTAAAAGACCCGCCCCACCTAGTCCAATGGCAATGCCAATGACTAGTGGGCAGATCACCAGAATAGAAGCCATACTAATCTGTACTAGCAGATAGATGTGCCTCAATATCCTGTGAAAACACTACCGACCACTAATGGAATGACATCAAGTCTCACTCTACATTGTGAACGCGGTAGACCGCCTTACTCACTCAATGGAATCCCAGAGATTAGTGGGCGGGAACAAAACCTGGGTCATACTAACTGAACAAGCAGATAGATGACCTCATACTCTGTTAATCAACGCATGCCTCTACTGTACTGACCCTGTCAGTCAGGATTCATGCCACAAAATATGTTTTCTTATCCAAAGCGGACCTGATGGAAACCCAGTCCATAGTCCTGCTTTTCCCTCTCTTCCTAGCTCCAGATCTCCCTTCAGCTATGCTGATTACAGACCGA